AAAGTTGGAAGCAGAGGAAATAAACTTGCCTGCTTGGGGATAATAATACTGGAGGCTGGAAAATGAGGACATTTTAAGGAGGAGATGCACTCAAATCTGGTGACTTTAGCATCCCTAATGGTCAAACTGCAGTGTGTTCCAAATAACTAGAGAAGTGGCAGTACCACCTGTGGCACCAACACCAATTATCCTGCTCTTTTAAGCACGGAACTTAAAGGAAGAGAACCCAAGTACCCTGCAAAAGCATGTGGCTCAGCTATCTATGGTTTCAGGGAGGGCAAAGATGTAGCCTCCTAGGCAGCAGTCATGGAGATGGAAGACAACGGGACCTCATATCATGCCTCTTGTGGGAGAGGCAGGGGATGCAGTGAAGAGGTGCTGCAGCTCTGGAGATGTTAAGTTTCCAGCACACTGGCTTACCAAAGCAAATAAAGCTGAAGCATGTAGCAATGCATACACCACTTTTAAAAATTAAAACCTGCAACTGTCCTGGGGACAGTAACATGGGCTGCCTTTGGACTGCAGCAGTGCCCTTATGTTAGATGCAAGTGTGTAGATACGGAGATGCAGTTTGGATTCTACAAACTGCCTGATAATCTCCAGTACTTGGAGACAAAGATTTTTGGGTTGGCTTTTATCCTGCTGAATTGCAGGGCAAAGATCTGATCCTGAAATTTAGACAATCATCACAGCTATAAATCAGAAAAACCTGGGTTCAAATTCTGCCTGTGATATTTATTAACCCTGTGATTTTGATTAGATAACCCACATTCTTTATAAGCTTTAGTTTCCTCGTCTTTAAAATGAGGGTCATAATACCTCTTTTGCAGGGCTTTTGGAGGAATTAAATATTAGGTTGGTACAAAAGTAACTGTGGCTTTTGAACAGCATGTGCATGTAGTGTTCAGTACAGTATTTGCACTAAGTAAACTCTCGATAAATATTTGCTGGACAGTAAATACGCTGATGCTGATGAGATTATCAATGTGTACACTCTGAACGCTAAAATGAGTTAGTCCCATGTCTACAATGCACAGGGCGCTTGCAGGTGTGAGACCATGGGCCACTGATGCCAGATCTTTGGAAGCTCTGGTGGAAGAACCGGTTCTTTCTTTAGATACCATGACTTCTAGCTTCCTATCTTAAGGAGGCTTCAGGAAAACTGTGAAATCAGCTATAAGGTACTTCAGAAGAGGGCCAAAAATGTCATTAAAAAGATGGCAAAAATGATTTATAGGGATCATGATTGGCTTCAAACAGAGAAGTATGAGATTCTTCATTTAATTCTAGTCTGTGGAAGCTTGGGTGAGGAGACTGCTAACCAGATGTGGTCCTATTTTCATTGCAGCTAATACAAAACCAAATGGGTTACGGATAAAGTTGGATACTTAAATATAAGTAAGAACTTGTTGACAGGAAGGGATATGAGATAACTGAACATGTATAAAACATCTTCACCCAGAAATATGTATGATGAACAAAGATAATAGGCCACAGTTACACGTTTTTCAAAAGTAGCTGCAAAATTCTGTTCTTGCACAATATTCAGTGGCTTCATTCAAATTCACCAAATATATTCAGAGTTCTCCCACTTTTCCCATCACAATAGTGATGCTTTTCCATAAAATAGAATAAGACAAAACAAAAAACCAAAAACTACGAATGTGAAAAGAGGAGAAAGTCAAGGGAAATTCAGCTGTAAGCCCTCTCCCTGATTTCCTTTATGGCATGAACTACACTTGGGTTTTGCTAGTCTTCATTCACCAGACTTTACCCAGCTAACTGGAGTTGTGGTTGTAGTTGGGGAGTGTCAGGGATAGGAATGGAAAGATGAGGAACCTGCCTGGGCAACATAGTCTCAACCGAAAACTTAAAATAATTAGCCAAGTATGGGGGTGGTGCCTGTAATCCTAGCTACCTGGGAGGCTGAGGTGGGAGGATGGCTTGAGCCCAGGAGGAGTGAGCCCAGTGAGCTACGATTGCAGTGCCACTGCACTCCACCTTGGCGACAGAATGAAATCTCATCTCACTGGTATTTCATATATTGACATTTTATCCTCAATATATGAAAAATGAAAAAGAAAGAAGTCTCACAGTCTCTGCTCTGAGCTCTAAAATGAGCCCTGTCTTTTCCATGTCTGCCATGCACCTGGAGCTTGCTTCCTTCGTATTTAACTTTTCTGCCTTAGATCTCCCAGGACCCTGGCTACATGAAATAGTATTTCTGTGATCATTCTCTAACTCCCAGAATATAGGTATCTCTCCTCTATGTGGACTAGCCCAAGCCCTTGAATATTCTGAGTTATTCAAACTTCAGGTAAACTTTTTCCTACCTCTTTTATATATGGATCTCAATCTTCTTTGAATTTCTCCTAACTCATCTATACTTTCATCCTCATACTGAATAATTTCTTGCGTTCTGAAACCAATTTGTCATGTAAATGACCTCAAGGAGAAGGGGTCATTAATGATCACATACTAGCTAGTTTTGGGATCTTCTCTCTCTCTCTCTTTTTTTTTTTTCTTTAAACCACTTAGAAGATTAACAAAGGGAAATCCAAAAGAAGAAGAAAAATGAAGGCCTAATTAGTGACATACAGAGGTGACAGAATACAACTAAAGAGACTATACTTTCAAGTGTAAAGGTACTGGGAAGGGAAATGTTTATTTCTTTATTAAATATTTAATGAGTACCTACTATGTCCAGGCCCTGTATAAGCTGCTGGGGACACAAAGCTAGTTCTGGTCCTTAAAGAACTAATAGTCTACACAGGGTTTCTCAAGCTCAGTAATACTGACATTTTGGGCAGGATAATTCGTTTGGCACGGTAGACTGCCCTGTGTAGCTGAAGGATGTCTGGCAGCGCGCCTGGCCTACACCCACTAGATGCCAGTAGGCATCCCACATCCCCTTCCCAGTTGTGACAACCAAAAATATCTCCCGATACTGGCAAATGTCCCCTGGGGGACAAAAGTGTCCCCCAGTTGACAACCACTAGTGTAGGAAAAGCAGATCATTTATATAACACACTGTGATAAGCACTATTATCAAAACTTTGCGAGTTAGGGAAGAGGACTCCTTAATTCTGGGAGAAAGAGAGCAGATGCTACAGAAGGTTTCACAGAATAAATGACATTTTATGCTTAATATATGAAAAATGTTTTGCAGTAGGCCAAGCAGACAAGAAGAGGGAAAGTTAGGAACACATGGAAGGAACAGGGAAAGAATAGGTAGAGAAAGACCATTCGAAGTCAGATACAGGAAGATGAGCAAAGGCCTGGGGGTAAAAGACCACAGAATATTTAGGCAATGATGGACAGTTTACATGGTGGAAAATGAAAAATAAGACTCAAACCAGATCATGCCAAGTAAGAAAGGAGGTGGAATTTTAATATAAATTTAATATAAATAAAGAAATAAGTACATACTTTAAACAGAGTGGAGCCCCTTTTCCAAACAAAGCCTTACCTAGATCCCCAGTATATGAAACTGATCGAAGTGGAGCTTCTGTGGTTGGGTCATGGTCCACTCAGTTTTCCCTTAGCTTCTAAGTTAGCTTCCGAAGCACTTCTGCAGAACCCTAGCACCCTAGGACACATACTGGAAAAACCACTTTGGTAGGGAATAGGATACTACTGAAAGATTCTAAGTGCAGAATATATGTTCAGATTTGTTTTTCAGAAAAAGGCACTCTAGTGGCAGAGCTGAATATTGAGCAGGTACAAGGGGAAAAGCGTAAAGGGACAAAGACCAGTCAGCATTTTATATGCAGGTTTCACTTGGAGATCAGTCTTAAGGCTACAAGATACATGAAAAAAGCACACTGGGGTTGAAGTTGTACAAATCTGGCTTAAAATTCTAAGTGTGCTACTAATGATGACCTTGGGCGTGTTAGTTGACTTTGCCAAGCTCTATTTTCTCATTCTGTAAAATGGGGCTACCTACCTCACTTGACCACTATAAAAAAATACATGTAAATGGAGATTGGGTGCTGGCATACATAAGCACTTAGCAAATATAGATGTGCATCATCTTCTTTCACTTGGCCTCTTTATGATTCAAGTTTATTAAACCTCCCTGATCCTATGCAACTTAGAAAAGGGGGATTTAATTGCTTGCTGTTAATAACTTTTCAACTTGGTAAAGAATAGACACATAATTTTTTTTTATAAGGATATATTTTTTGAGTGACCTGTTACCATGAGCCTCATGCTAAGAGAAGGTCAGCATTTGGCTTCCTCTTACTTTGGGATGTGCCAGGATGTCTCATAAGAGGGAGTTCAAAACAAGAGTAGCCAAAACCCAAGCACTACATGTGTCTGCCTCGCTCAGAGAGAGTGTTTCTGGCCTACTTCAGATTAGCAAAGCTTACATCAGTTCCACAGTTAGAAAGTCAGCAGCTAAAAACTCCACCTGTGTACAAATCTTTCAGGAGATCAAATGGTGTGAGGATTACAAAGCCTGGATTAGAAAAGCCAACTTGCAAATCCAAATTTCCCTCTATTCTTTACCATCCTGTGTCAGTAAGTACTTCAGCTGTGAATATTTATGCCCCTCTCAGAGAAAACAATCTTTATTTCAAGAGCACTGATGTTTTCTCCTTTTCTTTCCCACTGTTTATCATCACACTGGTGACATAATGTCAGTTAAGACAAATGTCCACCATAACCAAGTGAAAGGTGCGGGGCTGGAGGATAAAACTGGGTGGAAAATTGAGAGGAGGACGAGTTCAGCTAAGTATTTTAGGATCACACACAGTGTCTGCAACTCAGTACACTATGCCAGAAGTCTTACAGAACTGGATACTTTCAAATTGTAGACAACTAGGTAGTTAATAAAAGCTTTCTGATACTCTCAAGGCATTTTTGATTCCTGTAACCCCTGTAACAGAGAATCTATCTTCTCTTACGACTGCAGATTCCCTGGACACTATTCAGCATTGCATCCACCTTTTCTGCAATTTGAGATTCTGATTTGAGGGAGAATTCAGCAGTCTTACCTTTGAACTAGGGTCCCAAAGATAAGACGAAGAAACTTCTGCATGTTTTCGGTACACAGCCATTTCCACTGTTCTGTTAGTAGCAAGAGGAGCAGATCTAGGGCTGTGTCAGCTAACTCTGTCTCTGTTCCTGAGGGATAAAATGGCATCAAGAGTAACTCAGAAGAGACCCATACTTGAGGAACATCTTTCAAGGTACTGGGTGGCACCTGTGTCTCTCTACCTTCATGCCGATCATCTGGTATTTCTGCAATCCCTCTCCACTCAAATCAAGAGATGTTTAACTCATATCTAGAAGGCTCAGTGACAGGCTCAGCATTTCTTCACATTTTTAATTAATGTTTCTGATATTGTTACCTAATGAATGTTTCTATGTTTTTGAAAGATATATATATATCTTCTAATCATATATATACACACACGTATATATACATACACACACACACACACACACACATGCACTTATTTTGCCTACTTAGTTTCTATTTCTTCTATATTTCCCCAGGATGCTGAATACTTTCTGTTCCAAATAAAAGCTCACAACTAGTGACTAAGTGCAACTGGCAAGGCCTCCTCTCTTTCCAACCTTGCATTCCACTCACCCCCACAAAGCATTATGGAAACACCAGGGGCAGAACTGGGGAAAGATTTGGCATTCACTTTCCTGAAAAACCTCCATTACACAGAGCTGTAGGGTTAGGATTCAGGAGGCTTCAGCCTGATTTTGAGATAACATTTGGTTCTAGGAAGAACACCACACCTCTGGTAAAATGCCATAACAATTACTACATTCTTCCTGTTTCAAAGACTGGAAGGGCCACACATGAGCTTATACCCATGCTAAACTAAGGTTTCCTGAACAAATGTATTTTGTGGAAGGAAGCATGTGTTGTTTAAACCTGTCCTGGGGTTCCAATGTCACTTCTGATTTGTCTCCAAGTATGTGATGTTACAGAATGAATCTGAGATATCTGGTGCTACTGCTGTGATTAATATTATAAGTAGTATCAACAAGGACTTTGTTAGTGTAGGACCAATGGGTATTCTCTGGGTCACCTTGCCCCAGCTCTCCTTCAACACGAATGACTTCTTATTTGGACAGATCTACTAGAACTGAATCATACTTCCCTCTTAACCCCATATAATATATATTTTCTTTTCTGTTTGTATTGCCAAGATTGGGAGCTGACATGTTGTTTGATTTCTAATCATCTTCTCAAAGATGGGATATTGCATTCCTTGTGAGACAGCATCATCCTGAGCCCTAGTCCTCAATTGTATGATTCTCTCAGGTTTTGCATTTGCCTGGAGCTGCCACCATGTGGTAACAATTAGTTATAGCAGTGAAAAATAAGAAAGCAAACAAGGTACCACCAAGCCAGTTCTCTTAAAGAAAATGACAGATTTTTTTTTTTTTTTAATCATATGAGCATTTTGAGTCTCTCAGAGATAGAAGAAGGGTTTCAGGCCTAAATCATCCCTCTAGAGATACTATGTTCAACATGTACAGGCTGGACTTTGCCTAGAATGATATTCTTACCCCACTGCCTCCACCCCCCCGCCATCTTTACGGTCTCTTAGAGTTCTCTGATGCTTTCACTGTCATATTACTTTATTTACTTAATTGTGAGATATGTGTGAAGGGATGGGGCTGTCAATCCCATTTTTCACAGACTTAAATTGAGGCCCTCAGAAGAGATGTCAGGTGATTTGTTCATGGGCACCTGAGAAAGAATAAGCTTTTTCCCCATTTTTGAATACAAGATTTTGCGATCTTTTATTCTCAACAGAGGGCTTTATCTTGATGGAACTGATATACTTATTTTAAGTTCTAGTTCAGTAAACATGCTAATTAATATCTAGAGCTTTGAATTTTTCTTCTACAGAGTACACATCTGCTCTTCTCCTGGAAGGTGAACTTGCTCTGCCTCCAATGCAATAAGGAAGAAGTAGAGCTTTCATCTCTTCTCCCTCCCTACTTTATGTTGGGTAACTAGATGGTATCATCTGCCATGGCAGTAAATACAGAAAAAAGAATAGATCTGGGGAAATAAGACAATTTCCATCTTGAACACATCATATTTCAGTTGCCCTATGGTATATCCAAGTGAAGATGTACAATATTCAATATTTAAGGCATCACCACACATGCGTTACAGCTGAAGCCAAGAGTACAGCTGGGGTCACCCTGGAAGAGTATGTAGAATAGAAACAGTGAGCCAAAAATCAAGCGCTGGCAGGCGGATCATGGGGCCAAGAGACTGGACTAAGAAGCCACAAGAAGGGTATGAAGGAAACCAGGAAACTGGGACACTAAAGGAAGAAGTTTCTAAAGAAATCCAAGAGTCTGATATGCCAAAAATAAGTTCAATGAGCTATCAATATTATCAGCATGATCTCGTCCTGCTGGATTAGAACTCCCTGTGTTTGTGCCCTGCTCTGCTGCTTGATTCCGCTCTGGCAACTGTGTCCTACTCATCTCTGTGCCCCAACACAGCACCTCCAACACTGGAGTTCAACACATAGCATGCTCAGCTGAATGGAACAGAAATCAAAGTTACAAACTTCAACTATCCCAAGTCCCAAGTGGATGCCACCCTGGCTCCCTTCTCCATGGGAGCAGAGACCTCGCCACTCACCTGGATCGCTGTTGCTGGGGTCTTGGGCTGGCACAGCTGCATCTGACAAGCAACTGTCCACATGTCCTCTAGGGGGCTGTTCAGGATCTTTTTCTGGGGCTTTTGTTGGCTGCATTTCCAGTAACTTTGTCTGTTTTTCAACAAAAGATTCCATCCCAGACATGGATAGGGTCTCGGATTCCTAAGAAATAGCCAGTGGCATATCACATATGGAATGCTGACAGTAGGGGAGCAAATGTGGCACTCTAGGTTTCCCTGCCTCTCCCCTGCATAAGTACCTTGGGTATAAAAGCCAACTGATGCTATGACTACTTTAGGAAAGATTTTATTTTTTACCCAAGTTGCAGGTAATACAGGCCTGCCCTGGGATTATCAAATCTGCACACATTTTTGGTCATCCATTTTTTTCCAGGAACTAGCTTTCTTTCTCATCTTGTCATCCACTATCCCAAACCCACCATGGTTGAGAAGCCAACCTGCCAAGCCAGAACTGGTAGGAATTCCAAACCACTCAGAGAAAATACTTTTAGCATAAAAGTTGGAGATCCAAAGGCTGATGAAGTCATTTAGCAGGACATTTCTGACTTAGAGAATATCTCAACTGCCTATAACTGTAGGACCAATATCTCAGATATTTTTGCCCCACATTCTTTGGGTTTTGGTTCTTACCACATTGCCTTCCTGGAGACAATAAAGAATCTTGTCTTGTGCTTCAGTCACACTTAGTGCTGGAGAAATTTTACTGGATGAGAACCTCAGCCTGGACCTGGTACAGAAACAAACAGCAGAAACAGGATGTAATTTATGGTCTTGAGCCCAAACAAAGGGCTGGCAAGTACTGATAATAAATGACAACAAGAATATCCATACGTATTCTGGGGACCTTACTGTGGTCAGATGGTCAGAGCTGCCAGGAAAGCCTTGGCCCTGCAATCTCCCAAACAGTGTATATTCTCGCAATTCTTAATAGATAATGTAATGCATACACTAAGCTAGGTCTACAGTGCACTTGTGAAATGGCTTCTGCTAAGTAAAACTGGCATCAGTCTGCATCATGGTTATATTCCCACAGGAAAGATTAGCTAACACATACTGGGCACTCATTAAAAATTTGCTGAAGATTAAACAGACAGGTGGCATAGACCAAGTTTTTATTATTGCAGTTCATGGAGTATCCTTTTTGGACATCCATTTATTCCCCGTGTTCCAAATAAAACTAGAGAAGGAACTGCAAGTGATAACATCAATGTTTCAAGGGACAGAGACTCATAAGCACAGGTATCATGGTCATCCTTCAATAGATGGGCCCAGTTAAGAAAAGGTTAGGTGCTGTGAGTCTGTTATTGCTGGCCCACGAAACATAAGCACAGAGACAAAGAGTCAGACACTCAGACACACACACACACACACACACACAGATGCTCTTTCTTCATAAGGACCAGACACAGATGAAATTTGCAGTAAGGGTACATGTGGTGCCCTTGCTTGCCACATGTTGGCTTTGAATGCTGCCAGGAAACAGCTGGGGCCCTAGTGCAGGAGAGAGTAGCAGGAGTCAACCAGTTACTAAAATAGGCCCTGTGGGTTTCCATTCTAGCCCTTTCCTGTTTATTGCTAATATATGCAACTTCTGAGCCAAGATTTCCAGAAATGATGGCAAACAGAGATCAGTTATAAGCCTTAATTCTTAGTAGGAAAGAAACATCTCAATTTTCCAGGAAAAGAGAAAAGAGAATATCCTATTCAAAAGAGAGTATTCTTCCTAGTCAAACATCCCTGGTCAGTTGGGCCCCAGGTTCCCATGGCAAAACCAAACATTCAGCAGTGCTGCCTCTGCAGCACCACAGGCTCCTCCAGGTGGAGCACTGAGGAGCCTGGGGTCTAGCTTCGCCTAAAAACTGGTATGTCTGACCCACCTCCTCTCCTCTAGGGCTTGAGAATAGGGTGAGCGTTGGCTGAGGATTGGGGATCAATCTGGGAACTGGGGAAAGGTCCCTGGGTGACTGAGGGCTTCTCACTTGCCAGCCTTCTTGCCTTCTGTCTGGGACTTGCTTTCGGTCTCGGCCTCACTCAGCTCCTCTGTGGGGCTCTGGGGTTCAGAGCGAGGAAACGCTGTCTTCAAGGTGTCCACAATGGCACTCACCACCATCTGCAGGGGTCAGAGGTGCAGGGTCAGTAAGGCCATCCACATCCACAGATGGAAACTGCCAAGCAAGCAGTCGCCTCACAGCACTTTATGCAACAGGATGAGGAGAGGGGCCAGGCTCTCTAGCAAAGCCTTATCCAGTAGCAAGGTCGAATACCAGCTAATGACTTAGTGACAACTATCTTTCCTTTTTTCCATGGCCATAAATATCTTTTTCCTTGAGGAGTAAAACAAACAATGCCATGGGAAAAGAAGCCAAAACCAACAGTGAGAGAAATAAAAACCTAGGAGTTATGCGGGCTGATGATGTATCTTTCAATTTCTTTCTTTTTATATAAAAAAGTGATTTCTAGTTTCCAAATTGATAACAACTTCATCAACATGTGCACCAGTGGAAGTACATAGGTAGGAGTATAAAGAGAAAGGAAGAGTGAAGAAGATGATCAAAAATAAAACTACAGTTTAGGGGCATAGGTAATATTAACATGCTTAGAGTAACTTACACAGAGCAAACAATCAGTTTTTCTAGTCAATTCTAACAATTTCTTTCTTTAAGTACAGAAAAAAATAACAAAAATCACTCAGCTCAAAACTCAGATATCTGGAGTTGAGTTGTTGTAACTTCTCTACTCATAAAGACCAAATAAAATAATCCTCACTGAAGATTAAGAATAACCTCTATTTCTTCAGAATGGCAAGATGACATACAGATATTTGCTAAAAAGGACAACGTACAAACGAAACCTTAAACGATCAAAGAAACAGAATGAAACATTTACTCTTCCTCTGGTGCTTCCTGCTAATTAACACTGCTGGCTCAGAGCAGCACCATGCCTTCTTTGACTCATTCTTTTCGTATTCCTCCACAAGGAGTAAGCTAGCATAGCCAAGACGAGGCTGAAGAGAGTGGTCAGCAGACTACAGTAAAGACTGGGGGAGAACAAACCAGGGAAAGAACACTGAGGATGCATGAATTTAGATAATGCAGCTTAGAAAATACAACTTGTTCTCCAGGATCACAGAATTGTAGTCTGTGAGGGTGGGGAGGTCCTCATCTGTCTCATTCACTGATGTATGAACAGCAACTAGTAGAGTGCCTGGCTCAAAACAGGCATCCAATAAGTAGATGTGGAAATAATGGATGAATGATATCCGCATGGAACTCTGGGCATTTACCCAGTTGATCCCTTTTTAGTTTGTAGTTTTTTCCATAGCAGTGGATATCCCCTAACACCTACTACATCAAATTCTATTTTATTTGTCACTGTAAGCCTAGATGAGAAGAGGGAGGCTCCTCTTCCGCCAATGCGTGTTTCCCAACCTGATAAAATACACATTACTTTTGACAAACTTAAGCCTCAGACTTTTGCCCCAGAGACGCTCATATCAGTTGGTAATCACTGCTTACAAGCTCCGACATGTTACACAAACGTCCTTCTTCCTACCATCTCCATAGGTGCTGAGACAACTTCTTGAAGAAGGTACAATTCTCTCCATACTGTGTTCTCTAGCGGAGAACCATGACACCACTTTAAATCCAGCCTCGTGTCCTGTCTTACGGCTCTCTTTCCTGGGTGACCCAACACTGGAAATGACCTTTACCCTCTGAAAGACCACCCCTCCTGCCAGCTATCTGTGAAGACATAGATTGATCTTTACATGACTCCAACAGTGTAACAATACAGTAATACCCCCAGGAGATATGTGTACACTTAAGAGTGTTGGGGTACTGTTTCCCACCAGCTGTTCCCTGTGATTCAGTGAGCTGATGATTCACCCAATATTTGGCAACAGGTCTTGACAATTTGAGTCCGTGTTCTATTGACGCCTCTGTGCTGCCCCTTCCCACACCCTACTGCTCTTATTTTTCAAGCACTGCCTCCATTCTGATGAATCCTCCTCATGTATAGATCAAAACTAAAGCTGAGCACAGTGGCCCTGCTGGTACCTTGTCTATTCTAGAGACCATAAATGGTTTCTTGACAAAGGCAATACGAGCATCTGTGTTCAGAGCAAGGAACTCCTGCACCTCCTCACTGTTAGCGATCTCCGGAATGGCACAGAGTTGCTGCAAAAATAAAACACACACAAAAATTTTAAAGAGAAATTCCAGTCCCCAGATCTCTCCACTTTGGCTTGGGTGTTCTGGGGTTAGACACCCAGGTTAAAATGAGAACAAGGCCAAAAGAGAAGGATGCTGACCTTTAGGAATGATTCTAGGAGGCTCTTACGGGCTTCTACTCTGTCACTGTCCATATTTCCAAATGGAAGATCTGGAAAGAGCTTTTTAGGACCCTTCACATCTAAAAAAAACCCAAAATATTCACTCATTTAACATTCACAGAGAGCTATTCCATATAAAACATATAAAGAAAACAGAACTATTGAATATATTTCCTTGGATTAAAAAAAATTTCAGGAGTTCCAAATATGCATATGATCCATATGATCCACACAACACTAACTTGTTACAAGAGAGGGTTCTAAAGTGCAGAGACCCAAGTTTAAATTTGGGCTAAATCCCTACTATAATAACGATCTTAGACCATTTGTGTTATCTTTCTGACTTTGTTTCTCTTCTGTAGGATGAGGACAATGAGGGTACCTATCTCATAGGCTGATGGGAGCATTAAAAGAGCTAACATGTGTAAAGTGCTTAGGAGAGAACCTGGCACACATTTTCAAGCTTGGCTCAGTATTAGCTATTATATTAAGAAAGAAAATGCATAATTTATGCCCAAACTTATTAAACTGTTTATTTGGGTAATCACCACTATTTTTAAAAAACAAAGTAACCAGTTACTAGCTAATTCTTAGAGTGAAATTTTATTACATTAAAAAAATATTTAGAGAGGGGTGGTGGCTCACGTCTATAATCCTAGCACTTTGGGAGGCCGAGGCGGGTGGACTGCTTGAGGTCAGGAGTTCAAGACCATCCTGACCAATATGAGGAAACCCCATCTCTACTAAAACAAAAATTAGCCAGGCGTAATGGCAGGCTCCTGTAATCCTAGCTACCCTGAAGGCCGAGGCAGGAGAATCGCCTGAACCTGGGAGGCGGAGGTTGCAGTGAGCCGAGATCGTGACATTGCACTCCAGCCTGGGTGATGAGAGCAAGACTCCGTCTTAAAAAAAAAAAAAAGTCCCCCGTGCCTGAGAGTTGTCAAACAGCACACAAAAGATCTGGGTATTAAAGGAAAGAGGGTGGCAACAACTTCTGTGTAATATTTTAATATTTAAGAACCACCTATCTATGAATCTGGAAAAGTTAATTTAACTCCTGACACTAACTTACAGGCACAGGTGGAAATGTGAACACTTATTTTTTAATCTTAAGCTAGATGGGGCTCCAGAACAAAGCAGTTGGCAGTAAAGGACTACCTCTGAAAGAATGTGATTGCTGCTGCCCAGCACTAAACCTCAGAACTCCTGAAGCAAACCCAGGGAGCAGAGAACCTTGAAACGGCATTCTCCTCCCCAGTCCCTCCCGTGAACCAACAGGCCAGCCAGGGTGGCTTGACGTGGGAAGCAAGCGGCAGTAGGGGTTGGGGAAACTCCTGACTTTTGATGAACTTTCGTAGATCTGGTTTCTCCTCCAGACGGGTCTGCAGATTCAAGAACTCTCGATAGCGACGATTCACGGTGTGGTAGGCCAGCTGCTGCAGCCCGCTGCTGTTTTCACCATCAAGGGCTGTCTCGTACTGTTCAATGAACAAATTGATTGACTGAATCAGCCGGGTTTCAGCAATCTTCTATTCTGGCTTTACTGACTACTTGGTCAATGGCCACATAGCAAGAGTAAGAAACTAAGAACAAAGGGAGGGAGATGTTCCTATTCTGTTCCAGAACCTCCTATATCTAATTGCTCAGAAAGTCAGAAATGAGTTTCACTCCTCCACACTACTTTCATCTGAAAGCTCCCTCTCCCAGATACTTCCTTTACTTACAAAAATGGCTACATAACTATTTTTCAAATGAATATTTGAATAGAAGGCATAACATCCATAAAAATGATACTGCCTCTATCACCTTTAAATTACAGGGCTAAACATTATAAGGGGAAAACCATTTTTCCATTATACTCCCCCGTGATTATTTATATTAGTTAAGGGAAGAACAAGTAATCCAAACAGGAGATAAAAATTTGTTTATCTGGAATAAATTAAAGGGTATTTGTTTTGTTTCAGGCAGATTAATTTTCCTGATTGTTACTCTTAGAGCTAAACCGAATTTTTCCTAAGTACCTATCATCTGTATCATAGAAGTCACATGAAAATTGGAGATGTGATAAGGGGTCAAAGTCCACTGTCTTCCTAAGCTTAGAGGGGTTGGTATGTGGAAAAGATGACTTACACCTCATGTTCCCCAAAGAGTGAACACCACGGATAGCATGGAATCTGCAACTCAGCTTGGGGGCGCGCTTCTTGACGGGGTAGTTAAGACACAATGAAACGTTGTGGGAGAAGTATATATGTGCACCCTCTCATTAGGAATAGGTTATTATTTTTTGGTTGAGGTATACTGTGGGCAAGAGATGGAAAAAATGAACTCCTTGTTGGTGGGACTTGTGGCTGGTGCTTTACAATTTTTTGGCGACAGAGAGGGTATTCATTATGAGCTGATGTGAGCAAAGCAGTCTCTCAGAACAGTACTGAGGAGGAAAAGACCAGATAAGAGAGACAGGTGACATTCAGGGTGGGGCTCTCAAGCCTAGAGCATTTGGGAACTATGAGGCTTTCTGCGGAATATGTTGCTCCTCGAGGGCCAATTCAACACTGTTATGGTTACTTCCATCACATAAACTGAAAACTATTTACTATCAGAAAGTATAATAATATTGATATACAATTTAAAATCAGTTATATGTCCATATAAAAATCTGAAACCAATTTCAAACTACTCATAATTGGCTATATTACTTTGTTCTCATTTTTTACTTTACTCTTTTCTAATGCTTAATTGAAGTAGTAGCAGATGTCAAAAACTAGCAACGACAAAAAAGAACAAATAATGGGAGAAAGACTGTGAACTTAAACATTCTATTCACCAACTTAATTTTTCTGCTAATGAGGAGGAAAAAAAATCTGCTGTTTAATGTCAGTATAGGAATAGTCATTAAAAAAAGATGAAATAACCAGAGCCAACACTTAAATGTGAGAAAGGTGCATGGCATAGGGACATCCAGAATTACAACAAAAAGGCAGGAAAATGTTAACAAAGTTATACCAGTCATTTGAGGCTAGTCTCAGTTATTTTATGACCAGTACTGATCTGTACTTTTACAATTTGCCTACAAGGAGTGTGAGTGTGTTTGTGTGCTCACATATAGGCATTTCTAATTACTTCCATTCTGTCTTACTTGAAAATGTCATAATGTTACTTTCTAAAATGCTATGTCATGATGCAGCTGTGTTGAGCAGATCAAGGAAGGCCTTCTCCCTCTCACCTGGATTGGGAGTTCTTGGGGAGGAGTGAAGCAAGCAGGCTGTGCCTGGTGGTAGCTTCTGGACTCAAATGAGAGAAATTCAAGTGGAAGGCAAGGAAAATCCAATGGGTAGGATCTTGCCCAAGAATTTTCTAAACTTCTTCCCTGCTCATTTCTTTTTCAAAATACTAGTATATTTTGTACTTTGTTTTAGGAAGGTAGGTTATTTACCTATATCTATCTCAGAAGATAGCAAGTTTTTGACTCTTGGAGGTGTTTAAGCACAGACTTGGGAGGAACTTGACAACAGATAATATGAAGAGGGTTGGCTGGATTAGAGAGGCAATTCTCCCAAAATGGCCGTAGGACAGGCTGACTCCATGTTATCTGGAGAGTTCTATTTGAAATATAAAATAAATAAATAAAGAGAGAATCCAGGGACCCCTCCTTAGAAATTCTCATCTGAACCCATCAGTGTGTGTCAGAATCTGTATATATGCAAGGCAGCTCAAGTGATTTTGAGGTGCAGCCAAGTTTGGGAACCACTGAAAATATAACCCTCAGCACTCTAGCAGCTCTGAAGTTCCAGGATTGTTTGTGTGAGTACAGGATAAATGCTACTCTGCTTTACACATTAGCTTCAGACCATTCACAGAGATAGATGCCTATTGAGAGAAACACTTCAAACTAAGAGCGTCTCTCCCCAGAGAACATTTGCTTCACTGACTGCTTTCCAAACCCACTCCTAGCCCGGGTGAGCACCCACAGTTTTAATCCTGTTACCTTCACAGTATAGAGTGTATATGGGTGGAATCCAGTGCCACTGTGCTCTCGGGCTGTAATGGTGCCAGTGATACGAAGGTTCTGGATGATAACTGGGCCATCTGGACTGCTTAGGGGCTCAAAGCTGAAGGTGGCTGAGCTGAGAGGACCAGGTGGAGAGGAGGAAAGCAGAACTGGTGGCAGAGTAGGATCAAGGGAGCTCATATCATGGGTGAGATCCTTCTCTAAGCATGAGGGCCGTGAGTGGCAGGTCTTTTCTGGCCCCTCCAGCAAAGCTGTAACAGAGGTGGTAACGTCTCCTTGTTCTATCTCCTTGTCTGCTGTGTCGATCTGGATCTCTGGGTAGGAATTCAGTGTGGAGACCGGCAGGCCTGTCTCTGTTTCAGTCCCTGGACCCTCCTCAGCCTCTGCTCCTTCAGATGCCTCACCATCTTTGGGTTCCAGAGCCTGGGAACCCTCTAGGGCACACAGGGCATCCTGAATCCTGTCAGAGAGAAAGTTGCCTGGAGTCATGAGCACGATGGTTTCTTTGCCCAGTTCAGACAGCGGAGACTCCAGCTCTGAGTCTTCACATAAGAACAGGGGACCTCGAAGATTTGGCTGTAGGAAATGAGATGAGTTGTTTCCTACTTTTCTTTCTTCACACATCCCACCCAAATCTCCCTCTACAGCTTCGTGGCCTTCTTCAACCTCTGGGGAGGGGCCTGCAGGACCCTCTGGCTCACTGTAACTTAGAAATACTGGGGCTGCTACTGGAGAAGTTCTCCCTTCTGGAAGCTGCTCTACCTCAGCAATCAGTGGCAGAGATGTGGGCACTGAGGGCTGTTCGGGGGCACTGGCTGGGCAAGGTGCTGGATCTCTGGCCTTGGAAAAGATACCCACGAGTACAAGGTGGATCCAGTCAGGATCTGACAGCCTGCTGATCAGTGGTAAGATTACATTGCATGTGATGAGTTCGACCACTACATGGCGTCCGGTACGAGTCTCCAAGTGGGGCTTGGGCACCAGCCCTTGAAGCAACAAATTCACAACGCCACGTGTATAGGTGACTTCAGCACTGGGGCTGTGCACAGCAGGATGTGGGGCAGTAGCCCGACAGTAAGCCTCCCAGAGGTGAGAAGGCTCAACTGGACCATTCTTCCCTGCAGTGGCCTCCTTTGCCTGAATGTAGCTCTGCAGGTGACAACCGCAGAGAGTCAGAACACTCTGGGCAAGAGCATGACAGTCCATTATGCTCATCCTTCTCCGAAGCTCCTGGACCAACCCTTTCATGGCTGCCTCCATTTCCTCCTCAAAGGCTGGCTCCTGGCTCACGGAACGGTACCAGGATAACACAAAATCTCGAATAATCATCTGGATGGTGCGGTTGATCTCCTGTTCCAGCTGCCTTTCTGCCTCAGGGCATGGAGGACAGGTGGCCAATGGGATGAAGCGTTCCAGATGCAGTCGACCCGAAGCCGCTCCAGCGACGCTGGAGCCCAGCCATCCTCCCAGCACCACTAGCAATGCAGACAGAAGGCACAGCAGCCACACATTGACCAGAAGGTGTATGACCAGGAGCCAGCCGAGCAAGACCCCCACAGCCATCAGCTTCCGGCTACTCAACAGGTTACTGAGGTGACAGCTGGATCCAGCTGGAGTCTCCTGGAACGGTGGTACTGTTTCTGTCTTCATGGCTGATTGGACAAGGTGGCTTCCCCAGATGACAGCCCTCAAGATTTTACTTCAGAGTTAGGGAGGGGGGCATGAACTGTATCTCATGTGGGGCGATCTGGGTGTTCTTCAGGGCACCGGGGCTCCGGGCCCTCAAAGTCCTACAGGCACTGCAAAGCGACAGCGGCAGCTCCGCGTCTCCCCATTGCTAACACTAACAGAGCCCTCGAACTCGCCCCTTCCAGCCGAGGTGCGGCTTTGGAGGAAAACTCTGCGGCCTTCATACTGCCCCAGGCGGAGGGCCTCTTCGCGGCCTCGGGGCGGGCGGTGCAGGGCCCTGGGGCCCACGGACACTTACACACGCAGAGAGCAGCGGCCGGCAGAGACTGGGTCCCACGCCGCCGGGAACCGCGCGCCCACACTCAGCCCCGACCTGAAGTGGGCTCATCCAGGTCCTCTCCGCTGGCCTCGGCCCGCTGCCGCCGCAAACCTCGGCGACCGCGCTCCGCAGCCCGGCCTGTGTTAAGGCTGACCGCCGGCCGGCCGCCGGCGACAGCTTCCGGGTCGACGTCGACGGGAGTGAGGCATGCTGGGAGAGCGGCCGCGCGGGCCCTGAGGAGCGGCACTGCCCGGCGCCCTCTGCTGGAGAGGAGCCGCCCTGACGGCAGCTGCGCGCGGTAGTCTCTGAGCCTGAGCCGGAGCCTGAGCGCGCACAGGGCGCATGCTCGGCAAGAGCGGGCGCGGATTCCTGAAGCGCCACGGAACAGCCGCCTGCAGCAGTCACCGCTAAGACCCAGACTTCCAGACGCTTTAAAACGCTTCCTAGTTCTGGTAATTAAATGAAGCCTGTCCGTTACTGCTTAGGCACGCCGTCAATAATCCGGTTTATTTTAATTTCATGGAGGCGTAGTTTCATTGGCCTGGTGTGTCTTAACATTTACCCGGTTTCCCCTAGAGCCAGGACCCCGCGTCCCCAGTACACAGCTTACCTCATTTGTTGTCAGGAATTGCAGAATATAAGGCATGAAACAATACAGAGATAGGTTTATGTTTTAAATTTCGTATACTGTATCACAAAAGCAAATTTGTGATTGAGGGTTATTTGCTGGTGGCATGACACAATCAATCAAATATTTTGAGCATCAGCTGTCTTCAATGTGAGAGGCAGGGTGGACGAACAGAAGCAGACCTTGTCCTCTAGGATCCCCTGCTAACCGGGGAGGCCAGCGCTTTGAATGCGATTGGCTATCTAATAACGCCAGTCAGCGTGCGATATAGTAAAACAAAAAATCTGACAGGAATTCAGGGGAAGGAAAGATCACTGTGGGTTGCAATGGTTAAGGAGACGCTCACAGAGAAGCTGCCTTTATGCTGAGTCTTCAAGGATGAGGGTTTCTATTCACCTCTATCTCTTCTCACTTTATCCTCCCCAAAAACATAGGAAAGGAAAGCAGAGATAGAGGTGTTCTTTCAGATAATCCTGTAATATATTTGCTTTGGAATATGCTCTATGTTGGATTGTTTTTAGTTTTAGCAAATTTGACTTCAGTTATCTACACAGGAACTTATCGGAAGACAAAGTACTGGAAGCACTGACCAGGTGTAAAAAGTGTTAGTGTCAGTTTTGCGTGAAGCTAGCTTCCATATCCACCTTGGGCCCTAGGAGCCGTGCCTGCAATGTGGGTCTCCTTTCCATTTAGGCATAGGATGCACATCGTTTGCACAGAGCTGCTCATGGTTGCTCCTTGTCCATCTTCTCTGTGCTGTAAGCAGTCTTTCATCATCAGGGACTACTCCCTAGATGTTTAAAGGAATCTTCAAACAAATCCCAACCCAAAACTCTGCCAACAAGAAGTGCGTTGCAGCTTCCCATCTCTTCCATTGCTACTTTTGGGGCAGAGACTTCCTTTGAATACAAAAGAAGCCATCATTTAGATGTGACCCATAGTTAATGATTAACCACTTCTAAAGCAAATGGTTTGATTTAGGATCAGTGTCCACTAAGCAGACTGGGCACTCCCCTGAGATGGCAGAATGTGAGTCCATGTTTTCATGGTCCATACCTTTTCACTGCTGCCTGCCTTCCCACAGAAAAGGAACCCGAGAAGTGGGCTCTGCCCCTCTCTACCTTCCCAGACCATTCTAATGTCCTCAGGAACACTTAGAAAATGGCAACAATGCTCTGGAAAATGTCCCTGCCACCTAGATGGGAGCTAAAACAGAAATGTGAATGATGAAGGGACTAACGACAGTGCTGAAGACTTTCTGTGGCAGTTCAAAGAGAAAGTTTACTTGGCAGCATAATCTGGAGTGTTCAGGGCAGTAAGGAAGTGACCTTGCAAGTGGGCGCTATGCCACCTGACCAGATGGTCTGGAGCATCAAGGTAGCCAACAGTGCCTTCCTGATTCTGAAGCGGGTTTGATGGACATGCCCATGCACTTGTCATTTGGACGGGTGTGAGCTCCTGCCTGGGGGTCTGGGCAGGCCTCGGTCTCCAAACAGATTAATCACCGGGAGGAGGCGCGAGTCAGGACTGATGTGCCCTGGTGTGTGTATGTGGGGTGGGGAGACTTGGCCACACTACTCACCATCTGGAGACGTCCTTCCTTCTTTCCTTTTCCCTATTTCTCAAAACATTAAAGGCATAGTGCTCGAGTGTTGGAGAAAACAAGACAAATAAGATACAATACTTCTCCTCAAGGGACTCTCAGTCTAGTTAAAGGAGAGACACATAAATATATAAATGTAATGAAACATGACCACGTATGTAATGTGATGTGTTCTGATGTGTTTTAATAGAAGTGCATATAATAAAATTGAAACACAAAGGGGGTGGTCAGCTGTGGAAGGGGGTGGCTCATAGACAGTTTTCCCTTAAGTTGGGAGATGAAAAAGAATTGATTGTATTTTAGGAAATGTAGGGTAGCGAGAGCAAGGGGCAAACAGAGGAAAGGTCTTTCAGGCAGAGGCCTGCTCGTAAGAAACAGGCAAGGACCATGAGAGCAAGGGGCCCCATGACATAGGCCCTGCCGAAGCCAGCCCTCACCCCACTTCAATTTTCTCTCAAAATAGAAGGCCAGGTGGCTTCCTAAAGAGAAGCTCAGTGATGGGGCAGGTAAGTGAGAAGAGGTGATGGTATGGAATTATTGCTGTGGGATATAGAAAGGGAGCTATTGAAGGTCAGGTAAAAAGATAAAGTTGGGGCTGGGCGCGGTGACTCACGCCTATAATCCCAGCACTCTGGAAAGCTGAGGCAGGCAGATCACAAGGTCAGGAGTTCAAGATCAGTCTGGCTAACACAGTGAAACCCCGTCTTTACTAAAAATACAAAAAATTAGCCAGGTGTGATGGTGTGCACCTGTAATCCCAGCTACTCCCTTGCGTGAATCCAGGGGTCGGAGGTTGCAGTGATCCAAGATTGTGACATTGCACTCCAGCAGCCCGGGCAACAGTGCGAGACTCCGTCTGAAGAAAAAAAAAAAAAAAGAGAGAAAGCAGGGCTGAGGGACCTATTTGTAGTGACACCAATACATATGGTTGAGTTATTTTCTCTGGAGGTGTTTAGTATTGTATTAGTCCATTTTCATGCTGCTGATAAAGACACACTGGAGACTGGGCAATTTACAAAAGAAAGAGGCTTAATTGGATTTGCAGTTCCACGTGGCTGGAGAAGCCTCACAATTATGGCGAAAGGCAAGGAGGAGCAAGTCACATCTTCCATGAATGGCAGCAGGCAAAAAGAGAAATGAACTTGTGTGGGAGAACTCTTCTTTATAAAACCATCAGATCTCATGAGACTTATTCACTATGATGAGAATACAAGGGGAAAGACTTGCCCCCATGATTCAATTATCCCTCACCGGGTTCCTCCCATGACACATGGGAATTGTGGGAGTTACATTTCATGATGAGATTTGGGTGAGGACACAGCCAAACCATATCATTCTACCCCTGGCCCCTCCCAAATCTCATATCCTCACATTTCAAAACCAATCATTCCTTCCCAACAGTCCCTCAAAGTCTTAACTCATTTCAGCATTAATTCAGAATTCCACAGTCCACAGTCTCATCCAAAACAAGGCAAGTCCCTTCTGCCTATGAACTTCCAAAATCAAAAGCAAGTTAGTTACTTCTTAGATACTATGGGAGTACAGGATTGGGTAAATACAGCCATTTCAAATGGGATAAATGGCCAAAACAAAGGGGCTACAGGCCCCATGAAAGTCCGAAATCCAGTGGGGCAGTCAAATCTTAACACTCCAAAATTGATTCAAAAAGTGGGTTCCTATGGTCTTGGGTAGCTCCACTCCTGTGACTTTGCAGGGTAGAGCCTCTCTTCCAGCTACTTTCATGAGCTGGCATTGAGTGTCTGGCTTTTCAAGGTGAATGGTGCAAGCTGTTGGTCAGTCTACCATTCTGCGGTCTGGAGGACAGTGGCCCTCTTCTCACAGATCCACTAGGTGGTGCCCAAGTAGGGACTCTGTGTAGGGGCTTTCACCCACATTTCCCTTCCTCACTGACCTAGCAGAGGTTCTCCATGAGGGCCATGCCCCTGAAGCAAACTTCTGCCTGGGCATCTAGGCATTTCCATACATCCTTTGAAATCTAGATGGAGTTTTCCAAACCATAGTTCTTGACTTTTGTGCACTCACAGGCTCAACATCATGTGGAAGCTGCCAAGGCTTGAGGCTTGCACCCTCTGAAGCCACAGCCTAAGCTCTACATTGGCCCCTTTCAGCCATGGCTGGAGCAGCTGGGATGCAGGGCAGCAAGTCCCTAGACCACACACAACACTGGGACCCTGGCCCCTGGCCTATGAAACTATATTTTCCTTCTAGACCTCTAGGCCTGTGATGGGATGGGCTGCTACAAAGGTATCTGACATGCCCTGGATACATTTTCCTCATTGTCTTAGGGATTAACATTTGGCTCCTCGTTACTTATGCAAATTTCTGCAGCTGGCTTGAATTTCTCCTCAGAAAATGGGATTTTCTTTTCTATTGCATTGTCTGGCTGCACATCTTCCAAACTTTTATGCTATGCTTCCCTTATGAAACTGAATGCTTTTAACAGCACCCAAGTCACCTCTTGAATGCTTTGCTACTTAGAAATTTTTTTCTGCCAGATATCCTAAGTCATCTCTCTCAAGTTCAAAGTTCCACAAATCTCTAGAACAGGGACAAAATGTCACCAGTCTCTTTGCTAAAACATAACGAGGGTCACCTTTGCTCCAGTTCCCAATAAGTTCCTCATCTCCATCTGAGAACACCTCAGTCTGGATTTCATTGTCCATATCATTGGCAGTATTTTGGTCAAAACCTTTCTACAAGTCTCTAGGGAGTTCCAAACTTTCCCACATTTTCCTGTCTTCTTCTGAGCCCTCCAAACTGTTCCAACCTGTGCCTGTTACCCAGTCCCAAAGCTGCTTCCACATTTTCAGGTATCTTTTCAGCAGCCCCACTCTACTGGTACCAATTTACTGTATTAGTTCCTTTTCATGCTGCTAATAAAGACATACCTGAGACTGGGCAATTTACAAAAGAAAGAGGTTTAATTGGACTTACAGTTCCATGTGGCTGGGGAAGCCTCACAATCACGGCAGAAGGCAAAGAAGAGCATGTCTTCCATGGATGGCAGCAGGCCAAAAGAGAAATGAACTTGTGGAGGGGAACTCTTCTTTATAAAACCATCAGATCTTGTGAGACTTATTCACTATCATGAGAACAGCATGGAAAAGACTTACCTCCATGATTCAATTACCTCCCACTGGGTCCCTCCCACAACATGTGGGAATTCAAGATGAGATTTGGGTGGGGACCCAGCCAAGCCA